GTTGATGAAAGTACATTACACGTTATTGATACAACTATTGGCACAAATGAATGTACATTTTCTGTTAATGAACGGCAAAAGGTGTACTCACCTTGTAAGTCATTTCACTAATTTTCCTTCAAGAGAAAAGCCAAGCGCATAAAATTAAAATTAAAACCATGTTGTCAGTCATGTAACTTTTTTTTTTTTTTTCAAGAGAAAAGTTGACATTGAATTAAAATAATGTATGAGAATTTGATATCTCGTTCAGTAGTATATGACATATTAATGTCATTAATTTATACTTGCATACCATCGTTTGTGTTCTCTCAGGCTGCCCGTCGTATCAGTTATGAACTATAAATCTTGTCCGCTTTAAAAGTTTCTTCTTATTCCACGCTTGACTTGGACTACTGTAGCTGCTGTAAGCGAGTAACAACTGTCTTTATTCTCCTCGTGATGACGAGATTAGAAATCAAAATTACTTGAGTGAACTTAAGGAATCACTTCATATATAATAGAAAAGCTGCTGAACTTTTGAAGGTCAAGCGGAAATTTAATCTGTTGAAAAATTTTTCAACTATCAATAAGACTCGAGAAACCGTAGGAGATTGTTTCTGCAATGAAGGATATCTTTGAATTATATAGTTGGTACTAAGTCTTCGACGAGGCGGGTTTTGAGTTACGGAATAAAACATTCTTATATCACAATGACGTCATTAAGTTCTAGATATGTTTCTGCAGAATATATACACGACGGAGCCCATCATATTTATTATTTATATATAATTCATTGCAGTCTGCCGATTCACAGATGTTTTTAAATGCAGACTATCTGTTTTATTCGTTAAGCACAGTATTCTAAAAACTAAATATGTTCAAAACTGAATTAAGTATTTCATTGCTGAAAAGGATTAAAGCATATTTCTGCCTTTATCTTTGCAATTAATGCAAATATTTAACAAATAATTCCACTCACCAAAAGAAGAAAAATCCAAACAGACAAACAAACAAAAGCAAAACAAAAATTAAGTTAAAAAAAGAAAAGAAAAGACACACAAAAAGGGGTCTCGGTAAAAAGCTGAAACGGAAACAGCTGAAAGAGCTGAATGAGCTGAAAAGTGCAGAAAAGCGCAGAACTTCTTATTATCATAGATAATAATCAGTAGACAAATATTATGAAAGATGATATAATATAAATAATGTCAAACTAAACAAAAATATTTAAAAAATGAAAAATATGTTAACTGCCGAGATACCAGCCAATGGATCGAGCAGCAAGGTTAATGTCACACATTCTCTTTACCAAAAAATAAAATTTCTACATAGTATTAGAAGATAAATTAAATTAAATAAAGTCCATGCACAGTGATTTCTTGTTAAGCCTTCTATCGTGCTGCTCAGATTTTGATCCTGGCTAGAAGAGCTTCAGTGCCGGACCGCTCGGTGAATGGTCAGCTTTGAAAATATTTCTTTCATACTGAACAGCCACTAAGAAGTCCATTTTCATATGTCGACGTTGATCAAGTTACTTTTTCTGGAAAACCAAGCACCTTTTCTTAGCAACGGGCTGCTCATTGGTCAACATAACGTCGCTCGCCTACTGCGAAGACAGTTTAAAGCCATGTCATTATACTGGGACTCTTTCACGGAACATATTTTTTACATAAAATGGCACTGCCTTCACCTTCTACATTCGCCGTTTTCAAAAAAAACTGTTTGCTTATTTAAATGGAGGGTATTTTGACATGTGTACATGTCGTAAGTATTTTAGTTGAGTGTACAAAACCCTTTGCATGATGAAGTTAGGCACCTCAAATACCACAGTCTCTTTCAGTAGCTTCGTTTATTCTATAGCTTTAMTTTTATTTTTGTCTTCAAGTTATCAAAGAAAGGAGGTTTGACATTTGTATATAAAAAGATAATTTGAAAAGGATTGTGGTACTATAGGTATGGACCGTCATCATACGGCCGTGCAGGCAGCTGGTCGCGGTCTCAAATAGGCAAAATCTTCGGCTATCCAAACTTTGGCCAATACTTTTATGTATTATGCTATATCTTTGTTTAGAATGTCAGACCCTTCTCGGGAACGAAATAATAATTAATAATGGAAACTATTATAGCTTCTTTTTTGTTGTTTTTGTTTTTTGTTTTT